GCCAGGCAAAATGCAGCGGGAGCGCGATTCCTGAATGTCGAGGAGCGGCATCTGAATAAATTGTGAAGAAGTATCAGGCGGGAGCCGCGATCCGGTGGTAAGTTGCGAGGAAGTCCCGAGCGAGAGCGCGATTCTTCAATAAATTGTTAACAAATATCAAGCGGGAGCCGCGACCCGGTAGTGAATTGCACGGAATTCCCAAGCGAGAGCGCGATTCTTCAATAAATTGTCAGGAAGTATCAGGCGGGAGCCGCTGTTGTTGTAAACCGGGGGCCAACGACACAGTTTGACCTTCAAGACTTCCCCTGATAAAAAACAAAGCGCGAGCCCCGGAAGGGGCACTTCAAAAGAAGAAAACAATGTGCCCCAGACGGGGGGGACCAACGTAAATTACTCTTCAGAAATGAGAGTGCCAAGTATCCGCGCCGGCGCAGCGAGGACGGAAGGCGCGCCGCGCGCAGGGCCGCGACGCACCGCAGGGCCCCGACGCGAGGGGTCGGGACACCTCCCGCGCGCGCGCCAAAATTTTGCGGCCCAAAAAAACGGCGCGGCGCCGCGAACGTGCGGGCGCGCCCAGCAGCGGGCCCGGTCGCTGCCGCGGCGCGCGAGGCGGCGCGAGCTTCGCGCGCAGTCGTCCTGGGCGCGAGCGCACGCGCTCATACTCGCTGAGTTCCCCTCCCTTTGCTTAGGCGGGCGGACCGGGAGAAGCGCGCGCGTCGCTGCGCGGAGAGATGGGTACTCTGACAGAACTCCTCGCCCCCTCGCCGCCCGGGCGATCGGCGCGAGCCCCGTCCCGGCCCCTGGCCAACCCTGCGCGCTCAGCCCGACCCTGCCCAAGGCTGCAGGCCGGAGCTAGCAAGACCGACGAGAGGGGTCGGGCCCCTCCCCGCGCGCGCCAAGCTTTTGCAGCCAAAGCATGGGGCGGAGCCGCGCACGCGCGGACGCGCCCAGCTGCGGGCCTAGCCGATGCCATCTGTTGCGCGACCAGCCCCACCACTGCTAGCGCCCCCTGGTCGTGTGCCACTGCCTCATGCTCCACACACCGTCTTTCTTTGATCTCCCTCTTTTGGATCGCCTGTGACCTGCTGCACTAACGCCATCGGGTCCACGGCCGTCGCGCACCTCCTGCCAGCACACGACGTTGATGGAAGGGTTGGACCCGACCGTCGCCTTCGGCTTTTTGCCAAGCCGCGGAGGGGTGCGGGCGCGGCAAATCACCGCCCATGCCCGACGGCCGCTACTCGGCCCGGGAGGGCGATTCTCCCCGACGCGAGCGATCTATGTCCATATCTAACTTGAAAATATCCAGCCTTCGCGCGCCTTCCATCCATGCATCTCTCGGAGACCTCGATGACCTCCCCGAGGCAGCCCCCTCGATCTGGCCGCGCCGTCTCTTCGGGCTCGACTCGCACGGCCTTCCGACCAGGCGGCTAGGCGCTGCCCGGGCACCCGAGGCCCGGCGGAAGGCGGGCGCCGCACATCGCCCTTGCCTGGAGCCACTTTCAGCTGGGAAGGGAGCGAGCGCATTATCTCCGACGCCTTGAGTCGGCGACACCGTTGGTCTGCACTCGCAATAGAGGGGCGCGCTGCCTTCGCGCGCCTACCGCCGAAGCATATCCCCGCGCGCCCGCAGGCGACCAGCGGCATCCGGCCGCGCCGCTGCGCCGGGCCACATCTCGAGCAGGTGGCCAATCGGGGCAGATCGGAAGATCCGGGCGACCGGGATAGCCAGCGGAAAACAGGCGCCACATGTCCCCTTCCGACCCTGTCGGTCGGCGCTCGCGAAGTCCACGGCGACCCCTTGCCCGCCGGCCGAGCACGGGGCGGGAGGTCCCGACCAGAACGCGGCCGGCTTATAGGAGGGTTGCTCGGCAAGCTCACATTCGGATGCGACAGCGAGGGCCGCCCCCTCAAACCCTCGAGCTGGGCGAGGAACACTTGGCCAAATGATTGGTTTCCGATGGCCCGCGACAAGATGATGGTCGTTTTGTCCTTCGCTGTTTTCACTTGCCACGCCGGGAAGCCGCGTTTCGCCAGCGCGGCCTGTTCCCTGGCGCCGAACGACATGCCCCGCTCGCAGCGTCGCCGTGCTCCGCGGCGCCCCCCCATTGGCAAGGCCGGAGCGCCCCCTGCCGCGGGCACGATTGTTGCGCGCCGCCCTCGCGTCGCAACTGCTCCTCGATTTGCGCGGTGAAGCTAACGACTTCGAGCAAAGCCTGCAGCGCGCTGCCGTCCACGGCTGCGACGCCCAATTGCGCCGCCAGTCGCGATTGGGCCGCCCTGTCCGAAGATTGCCCGGGGGGCCGCGCTGCCCGAACTGCGGCCACCCAAGCTGCAAGCGCGGCGCGCGCGCGGGCCGGCAGGACGGGCTCTGCTTGCACGAGCGGAAATTCACGCGACAGCTGAGCAGCCCCCTCCTGCTGTGGCGTTTCGTTGAGTCGCGAAGAAGGGTCGGCGCAATCGCACGGCGATGGCGCGCAGCCTATCCAGATGCGAACGCGCAGCGCGGCCGCACGCAGCCAGATTGCCCCCACGAGCCCCCGGCTCTGGTCGTCGGCCGCAGAGCAAGCGAGCGCACTGTACAATGCCGCGGCGCTGTGTTCCCAGATTCCCAGGAACCGCGCATTTGCTCTGGCTGTGATAAGAGCAGCATCAGGACTGCTACAATCTCAGACAGGGCGTTTCGCCGCTCTTTCCCGCACTGCGCTAATTCGCGGCAGAGCGATTGCGGGGCGGCCGCGGGCACGCCCCACTGTCCGCCGCCACGAGCGAAAAGCACGGCTCCGAGGCGCGTCAGTCATGCCCCACGACCAGCCCACCCAAGCCATCGCGCGCCGGCGATCGCAAGCGCGGGCCCGAGAATGGTGGAGAAGGAACTGAAGCAGCGCGCCCTGGCATTCAAAGGCGCGCTGCAGGGCCAGGCCCCACAACATGTTGCGGCCGGACACGATGGGCGCGCACGCGATGCCTATTTGTCCGCCCAGCCGTGAAGCGCCCCTAGCACTTAGCGCGCGCGCGCTCTGAGAGCGCCGTCTTCTGCTGCCCGCAATGCCGGCGATGCTGCTACTACCTCCAAACTGAGGACGTCCAGTCGCGTGGCTGGCCCTTGGTTCTTTTTCACCCTTCACAGGAATGCCGAGCACGCCATGCACTTCCTTGAAAATCCACCGAAGGGCGCTGCCCAACGGCGTGGAGCGCCCGCCTCGCTGAAGTCGCCCACAGAGGCCGACTGCGGGACCAAAAAGAAGCGCTGCATAATGCAGCATACGCTCCCTGACATGCGCCCGCAGCCCCGAGCTGCCGCTGGGGCCCCGAACGGACGCACCTTATGCACGAAGGCCGAGAACCCCCCCTTTGGGCCCACGTCGTCGCTCCAGACAAAGGCAGAGAGGAACCGCTGGTGCTCTGGCTTCACCGCCCTTTGGCGGTAGGCTATCTCGCGATCGCATTTCGCCACCACGCGTGCCCCGTCGGCACCCCGCTCTGTGAATTTGCGCGCTATAGAACTGCAGAATTCGGAAGTCCCGCAACTCGAACAAATCAACAACGGCCGCGGCGGGATTCACCCCAGACGCCGTGCAATCGTCTATAGGCCGCACTGCGTTGCTCGCGCCTGGCCGCTGCTGACCGAGCGGCAAACGCTGCGTTGGCTGCCAGTCTTTACGCACTCGATGCGCCCCCCAGTCATGACCCCTCAATGGCCTGCCATCCCCCGGGCGCTCGCCCTCTCAATAAGGCTTGCTGACGCACCTCTTCGGACCCAGGCCCCCGCCGCGCCTCAAGCCTCGGCAAAGACTCAGCTGGAATTGATTGACACTGCGAAGTAGTGTCTGACAGGACGCCCGCAACGGGGAACCCCTTTCCAATGTCCGAGCACAGATTCAGGTCCTGGCGCCCAGCCACGGCCACCATTTCGCGGCGCAGGGGGCCGCGGCACTCCGTCGGCAAGACAGTCGCCACGTCGCCCGCTCATCCGCTGCGCCACTTTGTCCACGCCAGCTCGAGCCGCCGCGCGATTCGTTGCCAGAGGCGCACCTGCGCGACTGCCCAGCCATCGGAGTCTGCACACTCTATCATCACCTGGAGGGAAGTCAAAACACCCTCTGGGATTCTGCGCCACGACCTAAAGGGCGCGCCTCTCGCGGGGCGCCGGCGCTGCAGTCCAGCGGCGAGTCGAGCGCCCAGCACGCGTGAATTCACGCTGGCCGGCAGTCTCATCACCCATGCCCCATCGCGGACTGGAAATTGCACAAGGCGCTCGCGGCAGACAAGGGCACGGCATGCTGTCCAGCTGCGCGCATCGCACTGGGCGCGGCTCTCTATGCGCGGGGCTGCATTCGCCGAGATCCTCTGCGCCGACGTCAACGAACGCCAGTTTGCCTCCTCATCGAGCAAAGAGGCCGCCACGTTGACAACGCTGACGCCCGTGCGCAGCAGAAGCCGCTGCACACGTCGCAGTCGCGACCCGCGGTCTGCGCCCCCCCTCGCAGACCGCCCGCCACGCGAGCCCACCGCCTGGTCGCCCAATCAGCATTGCTGGAAACGGGACAGTCGCCGACGGAGCACGACCCCATTGCCGTCCAGCTTCTACACGGCTTCTTCCCATTGCTGGCCGCGCCTCCTCTCCCGGTGCCGTAGGGAAGCTTGTTCGCGCCTCATTTGGTCGCCATGGTACTGGCGCTGCTCCTGGATCTGGTCGGGGCTCATCCTGGGCCTCCTGGCATTCGGGTCATCCGTTGCGCCGCAAGCGCCCTTGTACCCTGCATGTGCCCCGCGCGTAGGTGGCGCGCTGGCCTCGAAAACCGCCGTCTGCGGCGCAATGGCGAGCCTGGGGTCCATCGCCAGCCTGCAGCCATCTCGTCGGTCCTCGCGGGAAGCGAGTTCACGGCAATTTCTCCGATGTCGCCTAGGTCGCGCGCTGCGCCCTTCATCTGGGTCCGGAAAAACAAGCACGCGCGCGAGATCGGGCACGCCAAGCCCGCGGCGCCCGGGAGCCGGTTTCACGCCGCGGCGCAGGCGGGCCCAGAACTTCCGTGGAAGGCTTCGACGCGGCGCACGTCTTGCACCCAGCCAGGGAGCAACAGCAGGTTCTCTGCCACGTAGCACCACGCTTCCAGTTGGCGCAGCGAGTTGCGCGCGGTTCGCCGATGGATGGCAAGCGCCACGCCAATGCGCCTGCCACCGCAGGCATTCGCTGGGACGAGCCAGACCGCTTCGAGGCCACCGCCTCCGACTGGACCCTGTTCGGCAGCAGCGGCTCGAGACCGCGGTTGGCCCGCCTGAGCTGCTCGCACTTGCCCCACAGGTGCAGGCTTGGCAGAAGAGCATCGTCTACTCCGCGGTTGCGAAGGCGGTTCAGTTCCTTGAGTCTCCGCCGCATGCACTGCACTCTGGCTTCAACTCGCAGTACTCTTCGGCCTGGACGTCTGTCGCTCCCACCAGGCGCGCCTCTGGGTTCCTGGGCTGCCCCGTCGCGTTATAGAATTTGCGAAAGAACCGCGTAGTCAATGCCCACTCGGCAGTCCCTGGCATACCTGCGGGGACACTGGCCCTGACCGACTCGCAGAAAGCTTGGTCGATCTTCTTGACCACCGCCTTCACCCGGCAGAGGCTCCGGCGCAACGCCGTCCGCGACCAAGGCCAGAGTCGCGAAGCCTGCCCCCTCGAGGTGCTCTCGCACCGCCGCAGGCAGGTCGCGCGCCCACTCGGCGAAGGAACCGCTCTGCTCGCGGGCGTTCACGGGCGATCCGCGGCTCGCGCGGGTCCGAAGGAATGAGCAACGTGCCTTGATGCGCGCCAGGCCGGGTACTGACTGCTCCACTCAGCAGACTCTCTCCGCGGCTCGCGCCTGTCGCACTACCAGCCACTGCTCTCTCACGCGCGCCTCGGCCACCAGCACACACCACGATTTCCACACGGACGGGGGCGCGTGGCACCCAGCGGCGGACCCGGAACTCCGGAAAAACGCCGCGAGCTCCACAAGTTTACTGCCCAAGAGCATCTCACTGGCGATTGCGACCGCTGCGCGACTCCAGTCGCGCGCAGGACCCGGGGAACGCACCTACCAATGTCTTTCCTCCCCGGACAGCGGCGTTCCCAGAAGCGCGCTCGTTCCGCGCCCAGACAGAAGCCCTCTCTGTGATTCTTTCGGAGACCGCAAGACCTCGCCGCGCGCGCCCGCGCTTCGTCCCCCGCGTCTGCGCCGGCGCCGCTCCGACTTGCACTCCTCGCACATTGGTTTTCTTTTTCCCTCTCTCTCTCTCTCTCGTCGAATGACGCGGTGGGGCGATTGCAGCTCCACTTGCGCCGGCGTTCCACCGGCCCGCCCGGCGGCGGCACGGGCGTCGGCCTCGGGGGCGCGCGCGGCGCCCCGGCACTTGCTCCGGGGGCGGCCGCCGAAGAGCTGTCGCGCCCAGGGAAAGAACCGCGACGCACTCGGCGAACGCACACTCTGCAGGGCTGGAGACTCACATTCGCACTGCGATCCGGCGCCCACTCCGCCGCCTTCGAAAGGACATCGCAAAGGTTGGCCACCGCTCCCACCGGGGTTTCGGCCGGATATTGGGCCAGCCTTTTGCGGAATGCGCCAGCGGGTCCCTGTTGGCCTGGCGGGCGCACGACTTCTTGTACCCAAGGGCATCACGCGAGAAGATTGCGAATGTTTTTTATTCGGCGTTTCGGCATTGGGCGTAAGGGGGGGGTCTGGCCACGGACATGTGCTTAACGCGACTGCTTGCAACAGCGCGCCCAACGGGGGGGACTCCACCCGCATGACAGAGGCGCCAAAAACAGCCAAGGTCTACTCCATGGGGGGGGCGCAGGGGCCCGCGCCGATCGGCAAAACAACGAGTAAGAAAACGATCACATGCACCCCCGCCCTGGCGCGTCTACTACCCGTTCACTGAGAAACCCCCGCGCGCGCGATTGCTCTCCCGGGCCAGGCCTGGCCCCAGGCGTGCGCGCCGAGGGCGCTGCCGTCTGTTTGTGAGAATCTCGAGCGCTTCCAACCTGGTCGCTCTGCTTAAGACCGCGCACGGGGGAGGGGGGGTCTGGCTCCGGACCCCTGCTCAGCGCGACTGTCTGCATCAGTGCGTCCTACGGAGGAGGTTCCACCTGCTCGATGCAGGCACCAAAAACAGCCGAGATCTACTCCATGGGGGGAGGGGAGGGGGGCGGAGGAGGAGGAGGAGGAGGAGGAGGAGGAGGAGGAGGAGGGCCCGCGCCGATCGGCAAAACACTGAATCAGAAAACGTTCACACGCTTTGGTGACGCGCGGGTGTCTCAGAGGCCGCCACCCCTCGCGCCGCCCTTCCTCCTTGGTGCGCGGCCCGCGGCGTCCTCGCGGGACATATCCGCGGTGCTCCGGCCCTCCACGGCCGTCAGCAGGTCGCCCAGCCGCACGCCCGAGCGCTCGGCGAGGCCGCCGGGCTCCAGGCTCGTGACCAGCACGGGCTCCGGGGGCTCGCTGGCCGGGAGGGGAAAGCGAGCCTCCTCTACACAAGCGCCTGCCACCACTCGCGAAGTAGCTGCTCGCAAGTGGCGTGGATCCCTTGCGTCGAGGCGACGGGCTCCATTGCATAGGACAGCGCTCGTCTGTATGACGTTCGCGAGCAGGCACTTTGCGAGTAGTGGAACGCGCTCGGTGATCGCCGTACGTGGACCGCCTTCGAACAAAAACAGGACGGGGAGGTTTTTGACTGTTCTTTCGCCTCCCCGGGGGCCCTCGCCGGGCCGCGGGACCGCCAAGAAGACGGCTCGGGATGAGGAGCTGGCCCTGGGAAAAGGATCGAAGCCTCTGGGGATCGACGCTGCGAAAAGTGCATGGCGTCGGGGGTCTGGGCTGGGAGCCCACCCGCGTGTCACGCCTTCGCCCCTGTGCGAGAACGCCTGCCTTCCGCGGTCGAACGCCGATGGCCCCCCCCGCGGCGGCGTGCCACGGATAACTACTCGTCTTCCCCTCCCGGGCTGGCGGCGGAGAAGCCCAGGCGGGCGTCGCCCTGCTGGGCGACGACGGCAATGGGCGCCGCGGCGCCGTCGGGGAGCTGGGCGCCCCCCCGCGCCCCTCGCGGGAGAGAGAGAGAGAGAAAGAAAGAAATAGAAGAAGATGATGAAGAAGAAGAAGAAGGAGGATAAAAAAAAACAATTTTAAAAAAAAAAAAAAAAAAAAAAAAAAAAAAAAAAAAAAAAAAAAAAAAAAAAAAAAAAAAAAAAAAAAAAAAAAAAAAAAAAAAAAAAAAAACGCCAGGATGTTATGCTTATGGCGCTTTCTCTTCTTCGAAGAGAGAGAGAGAGAGAGAGAGAGAGAGAGAGAGAGACGTCTCTCCCGGGTGCTGCTGGAAGTGGCCCCGGCCCAGGGTGGTCCCAGCGGCTCGCGCCCTCCTGGAGCCCCCTTGGGGCCCTGCGGGCCTCGTGAGAGGGGGCGCTCTCTGGAGGCCACCTGGGCCTCCCCAGAAATCCTGGGGACACCTTGGGCCAGAGACTTCTCTCCTCTTCCTCCTCCTCTTCCTCCTCCTCCTCTTCTCCTCCCTCCTCCTCCTCCCCTCCTCCTCCCCTCCTCCTCCTCCTCCTCCCTCCTCCTCCTCCCTCCTCCTCTCCTCCTCCTCCCTCCCCTCCTCCTCCTCCTCCTCAGCTTCCCTCCTCCTCCCCCTCCTCCTCCTCCTCCTCCTCCCTCCTCCTCCTCCTCCTCCTCCTCCTCCTCCTCCTCCTCCTCCTCCTCCTCCTCTTTTGGCAGCACCCGCATGTCATCCGTACCCACGGCCCCGCGGTCCGGGCTCCTCGGCCGCGACCCCACGGACCCGGACCAGCTCTGCGCGGACGCCGTGCGCGCGGCGCGCCCGTGGGATCGCACCCCGGCGTCCAGGCCGCGAGGGCATGCGTGTGGAGCTGTTCGCCGCCCGCGAGCCTCCCTCGGCCGTGCCCAGGGCGGGGGCCGTCCCGAGGCTCGCCAAGCACTTCTCGTGCTCCCTCATTGAGAGGAGGACGTGCTGGAGGCCTGGGAAGGGTGGCTCGGCCTCCCCGAGCACGAGCTCGTACCTGCTGGGCGGCCCTTCCGCGCCGCCCAGCCGCCGCGCCGCCGAGAACACCACGAAGTCGCCCTCGCGGGGCGTCCTCCGGCCCGTGCCCTTGCGCAGGACCTTGGACGCCCGAGTTATCCTGGATAACTCGGTCCGGGGTGGCTCCGGCTTGGGCCCCAGACGCACGGACCAGGAGTTACGACCTGAATACCGCCAGCCCCGATGATATTCGGGAGTGGGCGCCCGAAGGATCCCGCATGAAACTGCGGTCAGGGGCGGCTCCTGTCTGGGCCCTCGAGGCACTAATCAGGAGCTACCCATGACCACCCCCAGCCCTGAGGATTCGGGGCTAGAGCTCTGAGGACCCGCTTGCAAGCGGAGCGGTCCTCCGTCAGCACCTCCACGGCGTCGATGCGCAGCAGCTCCACCAGCGCCCGGAAGGCCGCGGGGGCTGCCTGCGGCGGCGCGCCGCCCCCGCCCGTGCCCGGCTCGTCCGCCCCAGGCGCGCCGCCGCGCGTCGCCCGCTGCGCGTCAGCCGCCGCCTGGCTGGCGATGTCCCGAGGGGCCGCTGGCAGGAAGCGCAGCCGCCGGGACACCTTCAGGCTTGAAAGCAACGGGCAGTGCTACTGGGTTCGGTGGAGCTCTCTACGGGGCCGCGAAGCGCCGTAATGGGCGGGGGTGACGCATGCGGGCGGTGCCACTGGGGCCGTCGGTGGAGCTCCCCATGGGGCCACGAAGCGCTGCGCTGGGTGGGGGTGACGCATGCTTGCCCTGCAGGGAACAGGTCCTGGTGGCGTCCCCCGCCGTTCTCAAGCCGCTGGGGTCCGAGAACGGCCCCCGGCACCGCCAAAGGAAGGCTCGGGATGAAGAGCTGGCTCGGTATAGGACCCGTTTCTCACAGGGCCTCTACTTGGATCACCGCTGGGGTTGCTAAGGGGATTGGGGGTCTAAGTTAAGCGGAGGGCTTATGTCTGGCCTAACCTAGCCTACGAGTGGGTTTCAAGTGACCTAGGCAGCTTACGGGGGGGGGCAAAGGAGCGGGTGGGGCCCAATTAGCAGAGGCACCTAACCCAATTTAAGCCACTTGGGGTACTTGTAGTCTACTTATGAGCTAGGTCAGGCCAGGCACAGCCCACATTGGCATCCATGTATAGCTCCCCATACAGGCAACCTGTATAGCAAGGGCGCACGACAAGGATGCAAGGGCCGTGGAGGGCCATGTCGACACTCTGCGAGCGGAGCGCGGCCAGCGAAGGCGGCCAAGGACGGGCCAGAGGGGAAGGATGCCAGAGTAACCTTGGAAGGTCGCTCGCTCCTCCTCACTGTGCGGGCTGGCTGTATCCCCTGAGCATCCTCAGCGGTGGCCCAAGCAGCCTGAGAGCGGCGGGTCCTGGAGGGGACGGGCCCTGCGAGGCTTCCCATGCCGCGCTCGGGCCGCCGGGGCTCCGGGAACGGGCCCCGGCACCGCCGGGAAGCGACTCGGGATGAAGGCCTCGAGGGACCCCGCGGCCCAGGACCCGTTGCCATCGGGACCCCCCGCAGCCCCAGACGCCTGGCGCCTCGATTTCGTCGAGGCACGGGCCCCCGACCTCTCGACCACCTCCCAGGGGGCCAGCTCCTCGACCCGAGCCGTTTCTTGGCGGCCCCGAGGCCTGGCGAGGGCCCCGAGGGGCCCAAGACTGTGCAAGACCTCCGCCCCCAGAGTCCGTTGATTGGCCAGCACCTACGAACAAAGACTTCGCCTAAACTCGGACAGCTGCGAAAAAACCTCGAGACGCCGGACGCCTGGGATCATTCGTCACAGCAAACCTTGCCGAGCGCGGCGGGCACGCGCCCGGCGCGGCCGCGCCCCGAGACCGGGGAGGCGAAGGCGGCGAAGGCCGCGGGCGCCGACGCCTCCGCGGCCTCCCCGAGGCGCATGCACTTCACCGCGAGCTCCACGCCGAGGGGCAGCCTGCTCGGGCCGGTCCGCACCGAGCGGATGGGGTCGGATCGGAGCGTGCGTCGGCTCGGGCCCCAGTGCGCACCCAGAGATCCTTCAGAGCTCGGCGATCTGGCTGGCCCCTGAGCGTCGCCAGGGCCACGGGGGAGGCGAGGATCACTGAACCGAAAAGCTTCGGTATCCTGGCGTACCGAAATCCATCAGTTCAGTGATCCTCGCCTCCCCAGTCGTCATGGAGGCGCTCAGGGGCCAGATCGCCGAGCTGAAGGATCTCCGGGGGGGCGTACCCAGACATGCTCGCGGAGGCCGCGCCATCGGAGAGGTCCAGGACACTGCAGGGTGCCTCGGGGAGGCCACGCAGCGACGGAGGCCTGCGCAAACAGGAAGGGGCCCTGGGACACACAAATGAATACACACCAGTAACCGGATTCCCCATATTTTCTGAGTTTTCGTCGTTCCCCCCACTTCCCATATTTTCCCATATTTTCTTGGGAGTCGACGATTAATTGTGTCTGTGTGGTTTTTCCCCTCCTGAAAACACTGAGCCAGCCCCACACATGCTCGCGCCCTGGAAAGACAGGACGGGAATGTGTCATCGGTTTCGGCCTCTGGGGGCCGTCGCCAGGCCCCGGAGCCATCAAAAAACGATTCAGGATGGAGAACCGGTCCGGGGAAAGGGCTGGAACTTCTGGAGGCCCCATCCCGGGAAATCAGGACATCGCATGCCTGGGGCTGCATCGGCCATCGGAAGCGAGCTCGCACCGAATCGGCGGCGCCGGGGTGCACGACAGCGCCGTGCAGGCATCGGGCCGCAGCGGATCGCCCGACGAGCGCAGCCGAGTCGAAGCGGGCCGTCGGGAGCCGATCGCGAATCGAATGGAGCGGAGCGGATCGGAACGCACCCCGGGCCTGCCCTCGCCCATGGCCACCTCCAGCTCCTCCGGCGGCGCCCTGCCGTTGCGGCCAGCCTCCCCCGCCTGCAGGGCGGCCAGCGCGGCGGCGCCGCCTGCGGCGCCAGGGCCCAGGGCCTGGTAGCGCACGTGCACGACGTCGTGCTGTCCAGGGCACTGCAGGCCCTGGGGGCGCGGGAGGTGCCTGCTCGCCTCCACATCGGGCCTGCCCTGAGATCCTGCTCGGGTCACCACCAAGGCTGCTAAGTGGTTAGGGGGGTTAGAAGTGGGTGCTAATGTGGGTCCGCGGCTCAAAGGCGTTAGGTACCTCTGCTAAGTGGGTTGGCCCACTCAGCCCAGATCTCTGCCCCTTCAGGCCGCTTGGGGCACCTCCAAACCACTTGTAAGCTAGGTCGGGCCAGATATGACCCACCTTGGCATCCACTGAGAACCCCCCCCGTCCCCTTAGCAACCCCAACGGTGATCCAAATGGCGTCGCAATCTTGCTAACACCCGGCGATTCGGGCACCGAGACCCTCGCGGATCGATCGGGCATGCCGCAGGAAGATGGGGTCCAGGGCTTTGGCCGTGATCTCTCCGATGCTGCGGATGGCCCTGGCCACGCGTGGTGGTGGTGCACGGGTGCCTCCTGCGGACCTGGCCCACGCGAAGGATCGTCTTCCGCACCTCCCCGCCCCGGCTGCACGCCTGCTCGTCCCCGACCTGGTCCTGCGGTGGCTCGTCGTCGGAGTTCCAGTCCAGCGGCTCCGAGGCGGTCGAGGCGACCTCCGAGTCCTCGCCCGACGACGTCAGCGGGGTCGCCGGAGGAGAGGGCCCTGCACCCCGAAGGCCCGTGCCGGCCGCAAGGCGCGCCACGGCTGCCTCCACAGCACTGTCATCGCACTCCAGCACCTGCGCAAGCGCCTCGATCATCGAAAGCCGGGTGCCCACATCAGCGGCGTCGCACCGCCCAGAGGCGCCCACTCCGCCCTCCTGCGGCGGGGTCACCCGGATGGTGGGCAGCGCCACCGGAGCGGCCGGCGGAGTGACGGAGAAGGTCCAGCTCGCGCCGCCGTGGGCCGGTGCATCGCCCTCGTCGTCGCCCTCGTCGGACCCCGACTCCGGAGTGGAGCGGCCAGACCCGCAGCTGACACCCGCGCGCTCGAGCGCGCCTGCGCCGTCCGCCATGGGAGTGGGCTTAGGTCGGGCATGTCCTGCTGCAGGCAT